TAATATAGTATTCATATATTTTTATTGAAAGAAATATTTACTATTAGTTAAAGGAGGAAGCGAAATATGAATGTTAAGTACAAGGCTGAACTGAGAAAGTAAATCAAAATGAAATAATGAAAGATTGATAGTGTTATTCTCCTTCCAATTATACATTATACGTTTAAGGATACTACATGAAGGATGTCATTGGTAAATTGACTTGCCGTTTGCACAGAGCATAGTGGAAATGATGCACTGGATTGTTAAAATGTTCAGTACACAACAGTAATAATATGTATTTTGTCTTTGTTATTAAATGACCTTGAATATATCAAAATGCTATAATAGGTTTCAGAAAATAGCAATAGTAGTTTGTTAAGATTATATAAATGATAACAGCTATAGGCAATGTTGACAGGTTGATGACAAAATGTTTATCTATAGATATCAAAGAAACTCAAGTTGGGACTGCTACATGTATATTTAACTGTCTAAAATGTAGAAACACAACAGCTTTAGTTTCAAAATTTGACAAAACTGAACGGCAAGGTCGTATCAGAGTCTTCAAGAAAAAGGCATTTGGTATCTTCAGATGCTAGAGATTCAGGTTGACGGTTATTCAGTGACATGTGAATCAAACATTGACAGAAACTAATGAAAATGAGTGGATCGAACTTAAAAAGGGTGTTCTGATGGTGGTTATAATCATCTCTGCACTTGTTTCAGAGGAGAGTCTCTAAAATGGTTTACGGATAACAAATATTTTGAAATTATTGTGAATATAGGTATCCCAAAACCTAATTTGCAAAGTCTAGCTGCTAGAAAATTGGTAGATTACGATGACTGCGAAATCAAAAGTTTTTGGACAATTTAAATAAGATACAGTCAGTTATGTTAGTCTCAGGTCACACTGCTGATCGTTTTGAAAATCAAAACAAAAATAAATTTTGTCGACGCATTCTCATAGAACCGGGGCGCAGATTTAAGCAGAGTATTTTCAGCAGTAAAACTTAAGAAATGCAGTCAAATACATGTACATGCAATGCACAAAAAGTTCAGGTACCGGTTGATAATTTCAAAAATGGCAATCAGCTATTTCTTGGCCAAGTATACACAATGGTACAACATTTCGTCCCTTTATCAAACAAGTCCTTGAATACAATGGTTCATTACTTAACCGGGATTACAAATGGAGTCAACATTTCAAGAAACCCATTTCAGAGGTACGAATTATTTACATTGAAAATATGGTGTAAGTGAAAGAATAAAATTTTACAAAATGTTAAATTGACAATGAAGAGATGTGAGAGAAAAATATTAGAGGCTGTTTAGATTGTAGAAAAAGGCAAATCTTAAGGGAATTGCAGTGACCAAGATAAATGGAACTATAGTACTCATGAAAAGTGAAATTTATAAAACATAATGATAAAGAAAATTTGAAGCGCCCAAGATAGGGGGAATTAGTACTAAACATGATACGGGAAATTGTAGTATAAAATGACCAGGGGAATTATAGTACCCATGATAAGAACATTTGTAGTGCCCACGATAAAGGGAATTGTAATACCCATGATAAGGGGAATTGTAATACCCATGATAAGGGGAATTGTAATACCCATGATAAAGGGAATTGTAGTACCCATGATAAAGGGAATTATATTTTCATGATGAGGGGAATTGTAATACCTATGATGAGGGGAATTGTAATACCCATGATAAAGAGAATTGTAGTATATTCATGATAAGTGGATTTATAGTACCTATGATAAGGAGAATTATAGAACTCAATATGAAGGGAATTGTAGAACCCATAAAGGTAACTTTTACTGCCCATGATAAAAGGGGAACTGTAGTATTCGAGAATTGTAATACCCATGATAAGGGGAATCATAAAACAAATGATAATGGGAATTGTAGTACCAAAGATAAGGGGAATTGTAGCACCAAAGATAAGGGGAATTGTAGTACCCAAGATAAGGGGAATTGTATAGTACCCATGATAAGATTGTAGTACTCATGATAAAGGGAATTGTAGTACCTTAGATAAGGGGAATTGTAGTACCCGAGATGAGGGGAATTGTAGTACCTGAGATGAGGGGAATTGTAGTACCCGAGATGAGGGGAATTGTAGTGCCCGAGATGAGGGGAATTGTAGTACCCGAGATGAGGGGAATTGTAGTACCCGAGATGAGGGGAATTGTAGTACCCGAGATGAGGGGAATTGTAGTACCTGTAATAAGGAAAAGCGAAGCTTTCCCTATAAGCAAATTGTATTACTCGTCATAGTGGTAAGTTGTGGTTTCACAAGTGAAAATCTAGAACACATGCATAAGGAATTGAAGAAAATGGTAAGCAGTTTTTATGCGTAATACACGAAATAACAATAATTACATAATAAAAGTATTTTCATTTCATAAGAAACATTTATTTGTTATATACTTTTGCTGGGGAGAGTTTAAGGTACAAAAGGTCGGAAGGAGACATGTCTGTGAAAATCACTGGAGTAATGATACTGCTAACATAGCAGATATCTGGATATGGCGCATTGTTAAATGGCATATATTGTATTTGGCCTATGCATGTTTTGTTGTCTTTGTAATAAAATGAGATTGAGTATATATGTTTGAAAAGCACATATACTGGTTTTCAGTGGCTACCAAATCACTCAATGAAAAACGACAACTTGAGCATCCAGATTTAAGACAGCTTTAAGGGAAGCTTCCGGGTGTGATTTAGGCAGCAAAACCACAAGCACAATAGGGTCATACGGCAGTGCTTTCGACAGATGGTCAACGTGGGTAAACAATTGCCCCGAAGTATGTATTTTATCAGCTAAGACATTAGACATTGACATTAGACAGTAGTGGAATCAGCCTAACGAAAACTAGCGAAACTGATTTCTAATAAACACACATTTACAACATAAATAATACAGTTTTTTATCAGATCACATGTTAATTCAGATTTGTTTAAAATTTGAGTTTACATTTATCATAGCTCTTGGTTTAGCAAGGTATTCTCAGATTTGATGATATTTGTCAGATTAGAAATTCAGACTGTCGTTTTATGACACTAATATTTGTATCAATATAAGATATTTAAAAACAGTATATAAGAAGGTAGCAAGTGCGTCTTTGTAGCAACATGCTCAGATTTTTGTCCAGTAACTTTATAATATAAAATGGTTTAAAAGAAGCAAACATAAGCAATGAAAATTCGTTTTTAGAGCAATTTTATATCACAAAATCATATGTGTTGAAGTTTAGTGATAAAGCTATAAGCTACACAAGGTGCAGATAATTTATTGTAAAGGCATTTTAGTCTTGGTGACATGATACGTTGTTTAGAACGCAATATTTAAGACCCCGCGGTGCAACAATGGCCGCAAAGAAAGGCATTTCAGATAGGAGACTGTTAAAGATGGTTTTATCCAGCACACGTTGAAAAAAGGATTAGTGTTTCAAAGAATTTAGGATTATAATTATAAAACCTGTATTTTAAGATTTTTGTATTTTTAAGAATCTTACTCAACAGTTTATGTAAATGTCTGTGCTTAATAATCAATATAAATTTTTGCTTACTTTAACACTTCACGCAGCCGCAGAGCCACATGCTAGTAAATGTTATGTTTCTTAAGTGTAAGTTAGAATAGAATGTAAATTACTGGCTGTTTAAATTCATTCTGGGTTTTGGTCGCCTGCTATGCGGAAATAACTTACAACATACCATTCAATAATTACCGATATGTGGGGACATTAAATATCTTTCCTAATTTTTAGATTTAATGTTGTAAAGGACCCAAAATAAATCTGATTTCAAAACTTATTTGGGGACTTCAGTGGTATACTACAGCACCATCTTTGGATAGAATACTCTAATTTGCAGGCATATAATGCTCAGAATAACTCGGAAACATGTGAGCATAACAGTGAACGGTAAAATCTTTGGGATTATTTTCTGCGGATGGATTGGTAGTGGTGAATTGGTCAATTTACATAAATATGATGACGTTTTGGTACTCCAAGTATGTAAGAGAGCAGAACTTTTGATTTTCGTGGGATATTTTCGTTGAATTTTTTACATGAAGGTGAGGTGTGTTACTGAATTTATCTGAAATTCTTTGAAAATCGATGGGCTGCGATTTGAGAAATTCTAATTTGAGCTTTGTCAATTTAACATGCATCCCAATGGTACAAAAAGTAAGGAGAGTTCTAGTTTACGGAATAGGAATCGATGTTTCACGCTCGTGTAGATTTGCGCATGCGCGATCCTTTTAGAATGAGCATAACCGCCAATAACACCCCAGTCACATTTGTCGTACGGAGGGCGTGCGTCGACCGCAGATCAATTAAATCAGTGTATTTCTGCGGCGAGCGTAGGAAAACTACGCTCGCCTTGCGGCCACCGTACGGCGTATCCAGTTTTTTAATTACAGGCCGCATGGTCGCCGTAAAAAATTTGTTCATTTCTGAGGTCCCCGTAGAAATCAACTGGCTCAACAAGATTGAATCATAATTTGTCACGATCACTTTTCATTTGATATTACATCCTAGCACTATGAATAACATTTATTTCCAGATGTAAATAAAATGAAAAAAGTATTATTTATCAACAGAAATTTAAAATTCACTGTGCGGCTGCCGTGGGAAATGTGACTGCAAAAGTATAAGAGCGCAGAAATTCTACGGCGAGCGTAGAAAAGCTACTGGCCGCAGAAATGATAGACCTCACGGCGGCCGTGGGAAATGTGACTGGGGTGTAAGAATAGAAATAGCTGTATTGGGAATGAAATGTCCAATGGACAACTGGGAAAATAACCTGATTATATTACGTAGGAATGTTTTACCATGTATTAAAATATATTCTTTTATTGATATTGAATAAATATTTCACTCTATTGAGGTGAATACCTGGGCATCTTTCACAAGTGATATCCCACGAAGCCCAGGGGCTTAGTTAGTGTAAGTAATTGTACAACTATTTTTCAATATCTGAGGCTAAATAAATAAGTCAATTACTTGATAACAGCCTTTCTTCCTCTGCTTCTATATTGCTGTACAATCCACCCCAGTCCTGACACGATTCCGCTGTAAAAAGTATGAATATGCATCCATGCGTTAATAAACTATAAAAAGAAAATACCCCCGACAATCGTCATAGGATGAGACAACGGGTGTTGATATCGGATGTAGATGTAAACACTTTAGTTCCATCAATGAACTCACAAATAACCATAAGTAATACTGTGCAGATCCTGAATATTCATCGATTTAGAGTATGAAAAAGGAAAATACCATTTTGAACCTGTTGAAAAGTATGTGCCCTCAGCTACACAGATAAACTTCCATGATGACTACACACATAAATATTTCAACATTGCTTTGGATTTTTACAAAATGATTCGAGTCAAGTGTAACTCTGTGTGTGACACTTGATAGAACCAGTGCGTGTGTGAATTAGAATAAGTTACGTAAGACAATTAACTATTGGTATAACAAAAAATCGCATACAATGATGCGAGTTTTGCATATGATGCGTATTTCGTATATTACAATGCGAGTTTCGAATCATATAGTTCGAGTGTCCTATCATATGGTTCGACTTTTCACATGGATCGCGTATTGTCCAATTTTGATACAAAATAAATTCCATAATGTTAATTATATTATCCTGGTAATTGTAATAAAACCGCATTGAACTAAACAATGCTGATGATCTTGCACAACCATATAAAAATCAACTCTTCTAATTCGCTTGTGTAAAATCATGATATCATATGTCACTAGATCTATCGGACTCTATAATTTAAAGACATGTTTATTCTGTTTCGGTTTGAAGAATTTATAATTAATGATGAAGATTGATACTATTTAATAATGCATAATACAAGGTCATATACAATTTACAATAATAGTAATTGGTTTATAGTGATAAAATATACAAACAGACATGAACATATTTACATACTACATTTATGTTAACATATTGATTACATTCACGTGGAAAGAAACATTCACAGTAATTAGGTACAATACATTTTTACATTAACACACTACCCTACCACGTGACCACATTTTAAAATGATACAGGGTACGGTTAATTTGCAAATGGAGCGGGTATTCTCTATCTTTGTCCATTGGGCTTTTCTGGTAATAATACGTTGCAAACTGCTCGATGAATCTATACAATGTATAGTAGAACACTTAGAATATGTGTAAAATCTAGTATACATTCAGAACTATGGAAATAAACAAACGTCCTCCATTTGCAACTTCCCTGTAGCCTGTACTTCTTTTAAAGGAATACAGGATACAGTATGGGGGTATAGTAGTGTGATTAAGACTCACACATAAAGAACACATGCGCTGTGCTCTTTTATGTGTTTGCTACAAAAGCTACATCGGTCCGATTCCTTTAATGTCACAAATCTTTAGATATTTGTTTGTCGGTAGGAATATATGTAATGCTGTATCATTGAAAGAAGCTAATTTGTTTGCTTTTTATATTTTCAACAAACCAAGAGTCACGGATTTAAAAATGTACGACTTTATACTTTAATTGTGTTTGCTCCCTAGAGGTGAAAATAAAGAAATACAAATCACTTACGCTGAAGTTCCCGAGCCCTGAGCATTCATCACTTTAACAGGTATAATATTTGCATTACGGGCAACCCCTGTTTTCTGTCCTGCGGCAGTACCTAAACACCAAGTGTCAAACATCTTTATATGATAATTGTGGTATTTCAAATATTAAACCCATAGATTGTTATAAGCTATAACCGGCGTTACACTTCTTTCAGAGCTGACAGATAATAATTCATCAATGTCACTGACTCACTATATTAACTAATACCATTACGTTAGTTTTAGTAGTTTAATGACTAATTAGCTAAATCTAGTTTTGTCGCTTGAGAAATATAGTAACTAGATAACGGCAACTCCGCGGAGTAGCAAATCCCAACGAACAAAATATCAATTACCGAATTCTAATCAATTATACTCATTACTTTGGTTGAAAATGAAAAAAATAGATTTTAGAATTGCGAATTCCTGCAAAGCAGCCATTTTGAATTTTCTGAGGTACAAATCTGAAAAATAATACCATAATTGTGATCTACTCCAAAATTCCTTCAATTTGAGTATAATATAGCCATACTTTGAAGGGATCGAAAAATTATTGCGAAATCGTACATTAGACGGCCATTTTGAATTTTACGAGGCTCGAGTCAGAAAAAAGATACAATATTTGCAATCTACTCTTAATTGCCTTTCATTTGAGTATAATAAAGCTTTACTTCAGAAAGATCTAAAAATTAGCGAAAATTTCTGTTTTCCTGTCCCCCCATACATGGCCCCTGGGGGTCAGGATGAAAAACACGGAATATATGTGAAATAGATAAATGTTGTGAATACACTACCAAAATTTCAAACAATAATATTAATTACTTTGGTTTAGAAAAAGTCCCGTCATTTTTAAACCGGCGGCCATCTTGAAAAAAAATTTTTTGCGTAAAACTATTCACCAATATACATCTTTCCACTAAATATGAAGAAAATCTGTCAACTAGTATTTGAGTTATCTTCCGGACAGACGGACGGACTGACTGACGGACTGACGGACAGACGGACGGACGGACGGACGGACGGACGGACGGAGGGCTTCACTATATCCCAAACGAACTTCGTTCGTTGGGATAATAAAGCTAGGTAAAGTTTTACGAATTCGTGCAAGTACATGAAATATGAAAAATACCTTTCGAAAAAACCCTGCCACCTTTTGGTATTTCACAGAATCTAGGACAGTATATAATTTGATAATATCATGCATTTCAAAAGTGTGATGACATAGCTCATAATTGTATCCACGTAATTCAAAAGTGCGATGACGTAAATATAATGGTATCAATGTAATTCAAATATGCGATGACATAATTCATAATTGTATCCATGTAATTCGAAAGTGCGATGACATGATTGATAATTGTATCCATGTAATTCAAAAGTGCGATGACATAATTCATAACTGTATCAATGTAATTCAAAAGTGCGATGACATAATTCATAACTGTATCCATGTAATTCAAAAGTGCGATGACTTAATTCATTATTGTATCCATGTAATTCAAAAGTGCGATGACATAATTGATAAGTGTATGCATTTTATTCAAAAGTGCGCTGACATGATTCACAACTTTTTACTTATTTATTTATTTGCTTAAACACTTTTAGAACAGTGGCACATATAACATTGTAGTGTAGCATTTTTACAGTGCGATGATATAATTCATAATTTTATCCCACGATTAATGTGTTATCTGTACAATAACAGCTATTGATATTTCTGATATTATTGAAATACGTGTGATATTTTCCAGGAAATCGTTTATCAAACTCGTATGCGTGTGATATCGTTTATCTCACGTATATCCGTGTGATATCACATTTGCATTTCGCGCCACAATATTGTTGGAAATTAGGTCAGATAATTTATTCTCTTTTGAGAAAATAGGTCCGTTAATTTATTCTCTTTCAGTTTCATTGGTGTATTGAATTACGATTGTGTATATAATTTGATTAGAAGGCTGCTAAATAACGATTAAAAAAAGGTATTTATGACGAACTATATCATGTACTGAAAGTAGTGCATATTACTGCGCAGCGAGTAAAGTACAAATCAAAATGGCCGGTGCAAAAGACATTCACATGGGAAACTCTGACGTATCTGATATTCTAATTTCTAGTTTATATTGTCTGCCAATGTCCTGGAAATTGGATCAGAACATCACAAGGTGGTTGTAATCATGGGATAAACCCAATATCACATACTTTCTTGTGATATCATTTTATCGCCTCGTAGATATCATGCTATATATCAAATATCAACACTCATTCGCTTCGTTCACTCGTGTTGATATTTGATATCAACTCGGCGATAAAAATGATATCACTCAAAATGATGTGATATTCTGTATATATCTATGTAATTCAAAAGTGCGACGACATGATTCGTAATTGTATCTATGTAATTCAAAAGTCTGATTATATAATTCATTATTGTATCCACGTAATTCGAAAGTGCAATAACAATTCATAATTGCATCCATGTAATTCAAGAGTGCAATGACGTAAATTCATAATTGTATCCAGGTAATTCATAAGTGCGATGACACAATTCATAATTGATATCAACTCGGCGATAAAAATGATATCACTCAAAATGATGTGATATTCTGTATATATCTATGTAATTCAAAAGTGCGACGACATGATTCATAATTGTATCTATGTAATTCAAAAGTCTGATTATATAATTCATTATTGTATCCACGTAATTCGAAAGTGCAATAACAATTCATAATTGCATCCATGTAATTCAAGAGTGCGATGACGTAAATTCATAATTGTATCCAGGTAATTCAAAAGTGCGATGACACAATTCATAACTATATCCATGTAATTCAAAAGTGCGATGACATAATTCATCTAGCCTAAACTGGTGGACACTCGTAAATTCCCGCAGGTGGAATGCATCACCTTTTTATATCAAGAGGGTAGAAAGATGAGCTACAAATGCTACATACCCGCAACGTGAGTCCCGTGACCATTGTCGTCATCTGCGGATGAGCCAATATTTACGAAGTTTTTCCCCTAAAATATTCCATTACGTTTTTTATCACGATAACAAACAATAATATCGGTTTTGCTTCTTTTCAAGTTTTTTACCTCAAAAATACACTTTTCAAACTGAGTCAAACTTTTTTTCTTCATTTTAGCTAATGTCACAGAGTCGGTTATGTTTTATAAACCTGTGCCATTACTACTTGTGAACTAAGGGAATAAATACACATATAGTAATCAAATAAAATAAAAGTTTCCTTGAGTCGTTTTTGCTCTTTGAACATAGTTCAAGAAAATGTAGGAGTAGAAAAAAATTAACTTACAGTCTCAACCCGACCACAGAATTCTTCGTGAGTGTATCTAACTCCTCTGAAAAATTATAATTATAAACGAATTGATACTTTTCTTTCTACTGACATATTCATGGTCATTGTATTATAGTATATTTATTTATGTCATTACAAGCATTTAAGGAAGAAATATTACTCTTTCGTTCATTCTGTATTGAAAATTTAAAAGCACGATTGCATGTAATAACCCATACATGTAATCCCACGAAGGAATGGAATGTCCATTCCATTCATCAGTTGAACCTTATATAGAATGGAGACATTAAGCTTGCAATGTTTTTCACAACGTTACCACGAACGAAAAGTCCATGAATCAATACAGTAATGTGTGTAGCGCGCATACAAAACAAGCGCTAATTAGTCTACTTCAGATTTACGTCATTTAAAATTCAAAATCCAGTCAAACTGATGTCACTTTTGGAAACTTAAACTGATGAATATTCAAGTTTACGGGAACTTTGTAACACCCTGCCATGCTATATCCCCCGAATTAGCCACCTGGTGGCGAAACTGGTAACTACCCAGCTACTCGCATCTGAGTAATTGGCACACTTGGAATGTTTGAATATATATTCAGAGATCCAAAACTTCATATTTCAACGGTAAGTTATACTCCTACCAATATAATGTATTTAACTATATTTCTTTATATCATTAATTCGTATTAAATATTGACATTATGAACACGCAAAGGCTACCATATATTATAGTTATTCTACTTGATTGGTTTCGTATTTTGCTTACCACTTGTGTAAGATCACTTGATATACTGTAAGCAATAAGTATGCTTTTCAGTAGCATCAGGCGAGTATCAGGGGCGGATCTGGGAACCAACAAGGCCAAGGGGGGGGCAAATCTGAGGTGAGAGAAAAAAATGTTGGGCCCCTAAAACCCACAAGTGGGCCAAACTTTCAGGCCCATTTTCTACAAAATTTGACCTGAATTGTTTAAATAAGGCATCCAGTAATGGCCAAAAAGGCAAGAAATTCTGCCCCCCCCCCCTCCCCCCCCTCCGGATCCGCCAGTGAGTATTACGACGATCAAAATTGGGTCTTAACACTCGCTTTATACTAACTACTCTTTTCTGTACTTACGAGTCTACAATATAGACATCTACGTCAGTTCCTAGACCCTTTGCTAGTAGTTGGTTGTTGAGGTTACCATCAAGTCTGTCAAGGCCCTGTGTATCAGAAATGCAAAATAAAATACGGGGGTGAATTTTTCTTAATTGAGTCTTTATTAAAACAAGGCACAGACGTGAACAATATCGTACCTAAAACACAGCATTGTGGTCTTGTTGACCAAGAAAGCAAGATGGCCGCAGAAAAGTTAATCAGCTGTAGAACTTATCACTGTGTAACATATGTAAAAATTTGAACGGTTTGGCTGGAAACCTGTAGACAAGTCTTGAAAGTGAAGATTTTAGGACTGAAAGTCCAAAATGGCCACCTTAAAATTTACCCAGAATGCCCAAAAACCAATCAGTTCTTGAAGTTGATATGTAGAAACATCCCTGAAAATTTCAGATGAATCCCTCAAATGGTTTGGCTGAAAATCTGTAGACAAGTCTTGAAAGTGAAGATTTTAGGACAGAAAATCCAAAATGGCCACCTTAAAATTTAACCAGAATGCCCAAAAACTAATCAGTTCTTGACGTTGATATGTAGAAACATCCCTGAAAATTTCAGATGAATCCCTCAAAAGGTTTGGCTGGAAACCTGTAGACAAGTCTTGAAAGTAAAGATTTTAGGACGGAAAATCCAAAATGGCCACCTTAAAATTTACCCAGAATGCCCAAAAACTAATCAGTTCTTGACGTTGATATGTAGAAACATCCCTAAAAATTTCAGATGAATCCCTCAAATGGTTTGGCTGAAAACCTGTAGACAAGTCTTGAAAGTGAAGATTTTAGGACGGAAAATCCAAAATGGCCACCTTGAAATTTACCAAGAATGCCCAAAAACTAATCAGTTCTTGACGTTGATATATAGAAACATCCCTGAAAATTTCAGATGAATCCCTCAAATGGTTTGGCTGGAAACCTGTAGACAAGTCTTAAAAGTGAAGATTTTAGGACGGAAAATCCAAAATGGCCACCTTAAAATTTACCCAGAATGACCAAAAACTAATCAGTTCTTGACGTTGATATGTAGAAACATCCCTGAAAACTTCAGATGAATCCCTCAAACGGTTTGGCTGGAAACCTGTAGACAAGTCTTGAAAGTGAAGATTTTAGGACGGAAAATCCAAAATGGCCACCTTAAGATTTACCCAGAATGACCAAAAACTAATCAGTTCTTGACGTTGATATGTAGAAACATCCCTGAAAATTTCAGATGAATCCCTCAAATGGTTTGGCTGGAAACCTGTAGACAAGCTGAAAAGTGAGACGCCGCCCGCCCGCCCGCCCGTCAAGCTGACTTCAATATCGTACCTTTTGTTAGGTACGATAAAAAGACATCAGTGACATCCGACACAGTTTTTTGCAAAATACAAAATGTTTGTTTTGTAATTTAAAATTTTAAATATAAAATGAAATGAGTGTTCAATATCAATTATACTAGGATATTGGGGTATGTGATAATTGATATTTTCAAATATAGTGAAATTCTGTTATTCTAGCATAGCATCCCCCATGTGTGTTAATATCAACGACATTTAATGTGTGCTATTTTAAGGTCAACACAACAGGGTATCATGATCATGCGATATATATTGAAAATATTGCTCCTAAAACAGCTTTAACAATGGTTTTCTATGATTTGTATGATTTGTATCCTCCAACACATGCTTAAATTAACCTTGGTGATATGTTGCTGATGGGTAATTTGTTGAAAACTTGAAAACGCCAGAAAGTGCCTTTTGTGGTTACCTTTGAAATGACTTACAACGAAATCATCAGACGAAATATTGTTTTGCCGTCCAATATTTTGTTTCCTCTAAACAGTTTCAACCATGCACCAAACGATTTCAAAAGATTATTTTGAAAAATGAAACTAATCCGAATGTAGTATTTAAATGATTGTAATATAAATTCTCAATTATATCTAGTTTCTTAGTAAATTGAACGTGTTGAGTATGTATTGGAGGATACAAATCATATGGTCATCATAAAACGTGTTATTCTTATGAGTATGAAATATCACGCAAAAGCGTTTTGAGAGCTGGTTACAAACATACAGTACTTAATTAACAAGTTGGAAATTATTGGAGCACATGATACATAATCTGTAATGTTGTCTGAGTTTATATTAGTATACTTTGATTTTTGTCTAAGAAAATCATCGTTAAAGCTGTTCGCATGGTTCGCATGGTCATGACAGCCAGTTGTGTTGGCTGTCATGACCCTCCATCCCAAAAAGCAATGTCATAAGTATTGTGATAATAACGTCCCTTATACCTATTTATTACAGGTCGTGTGGACTATTAATGTTGCCCGATTTATAGCAAAAAACATTAGTGATGATGCGCCTTTTTTAATAGATCTCATATCTTAGAAGGGTATTAGTTCAAAAAAATACAAGATGATCTAACATATTTTGCCATGCACTGCGCCTATTCATTTGGCAATTCAGTTGTAAATTCTCTTGAAAAAATAAATCTTCAAAATTTGTTGAGTTTTCTTGCAGAAATCGCCTGATCCCCACCTCCATCATCTTTGTACGATCACCGGGCGTGATCATGTCATTTTTATAGTGTAATGTAATGCTTATCTAATATCATATTTTGGTAAGATAGGTGAAAGGTGTAAATGATCGTTTCATTAGCGGACATTGGTGGCTTTTTAATATTAAAGTCAAAGACGAATCAACATTTTAAAATTTCGTTAGATGAGGGGAGGTGGGTCAAACCATAATGAAATTTACTTTGTTAGTCCACATCTATTGATAATTGGACAACATCCCGGTGTAAAAGAAATTATGGTCCCCTTTCATTACAGCCCTTACTGGCCCGGACTGTGTATAAATAATAAGGAAAATAATTGTAATTATTACCACCTTGTCGGGCCAGTTCTAGGGGTTTTAGTGTTAGTTTAGAAGGCGTTTATTTTACTATATCGACCTGAGAAATGTGTGACGTCATAGTGGTGGTCCATATGGACCGGTCTAGAATATATTCTGGACCGGCAATTTTCCCCGGGAAATTAGATATCGTTCAATGCGTAAGATTTTCTTGCTGTTTCAGTCCTGGTCGTTAACGGTGGTAATAATACTAATAACGTCATTTCTGCGAGCAATATCGTGAAATATTGGACCTTGGGCCTTAGAAATGACATTATTGTACTATTAGATCACCATATAAATCAATAGAGAGTAGGACCAAAATTTGATAGGACCACCTACCCTTTTACACCGGCCTTACCCAGCTATTGACGTTCCTCGAAACACAGCTGATTATGCAACACCGCCTGAGAGTTAAAATCGACTTTCTACCAAACCTTCGACATGTACATTCCGGTCGGTTAATAATAGTACAACGTCGTTCGTTTCTTTTCACACGGCCTCCATGATGGCTCTTAGCACCGGTGTACAAATCTTCCTCTGTATCCAAACTGAACCGTACGCTCTCTTGAACTGATTTGACGATTGGCAAAGCCAGGATTTGATTTAGATCACTGTTAAGAAAGTACTCCATTAATTAACAGTATTTTCAAAAATATGACTACATCATAAGAAACTAAAGTTAGCATTATTTTGAAGAACATGTACGTGAAACGTGTAATATTATGGCCCCATGTGGACAACTTAAACTTAAATTGCCCGATTGAGGTTATAAAGGTGCGAGGAAAATAACTGTTATAATTTTATAAAGTTCTCCTTTCAACCGATCGAGAAGTGGACAACTCCTGGGGTCATAAAATTACACATTTTCGTTCAAGTTCTCCCAGATGCGTGTTTCTTATACGTCAATGTGTAGAATCATGGTCCTCTTCGGATTAGTTATCCCTTGCTAGTAATATTAGTAATATTATGAAAGCCAGATGTAAATGAAACATGGCGATGGGTTTAAAAAATTCGTACTTAAATCATTGGATTAGGAGCAAAGTAGTGATTTGATTTATTAAATTGTTTATTGACTGATAAAAGTTTATTGAAACAAGTACACTCCCCTCCATTAGTTTAGCAAACGTAGGTATGACGAATTTGACGACACAAAAAGATTATAACGAATCATTCCATATGAGACTCCCGTTTGACAAACTTTTGATGAGGGGTGTATCAATAAGTTTGAGCGTGTGATTTCTCATGATCAACAAAGTTTACGTCAACGCGGAAGTGTCTATGTGAAGAAGAAAAGTTGCACATCACAGAACATATTATATTGTGTTACGTTACGTTACGTTACGTTGCGTTACGCTACGCTACGCTAGTTTTGTAATTTGCGTCCAAAAAGTCTCAATACAAAGTCTGTGCAAAGTGTAAAGATAATTTAAGGACACTTTGTATATGATACAACCCTTATGCCAGTTTAATTTACCTTTCTGTAATACACGACACAATGTAAGCTTTGAAACCAATCATATCGATAAATTTGCCCCTCCGTTTAATCCAACAACCACCGCGACCATCAACCATTGATGTATCAACCCCGGCATTGTCATCATTATCTGTCATAAAGAGTCCCCTTGTCGCTTGAAGATGGTTCATTACTATGAAGACAACAATAGTAGTAATTATAGTAATCGAATCGTTCAAGCACATATTATGTGCAAATACTCTAAAAATGTCATAGGATTTGGTTAGAAAATGGCGAAATGGCAGATACTGTCACCTTACTTTTGGATCATCCATCGTATAATGAAAGTAATTCGAAAAAATATGGAAATGAAAATTTGAGCATGTTTGGTTTTGTTATTCCTTAACTCGGGAAATGACAAAAACGTGCAGGAATAACCACATCAGTCATGGATCATTTTTATCTTTGACAAGTAATATTCAACGAAGCCAAAAGGCTTAAAGGCGAATGTCTTGTTAAAGTGCCACATTATTCAATTCATGAAAAATAAATGAAACATTTGTTATTTTATTCATACAATGTACTGTCAAGCTTATCATCATTAATATTATTTACTGTTGTTTTGACATTGATCAAATACATTTGCCAATGAAAATGACTGACCTTCCGAATGTGAAACTGTCGCACCCAAGTTGATGATATATTGACGGTAGACTTTTTTGGCTGGGTCCGATGCTCGTCTTAATTTCGACCTGTAACACGCGTTTATAACCATATTGTAATACTCGCATTGAAATTAATCAAAATAATAGTTATTAATCAATATGATAATATTTATTATTATTTTGTAGGGTTCACCTGTTTGAGTGTGGTCTGTAACAACAATATTTTGACACGTCCATATTTGTTTTGTGTAAGTGAATTGGTTGACTTACCGGAAATTAGCTAGAACCCCTACATGTATGACCGTTAACACTATCGCCAGAATATACCCCTTCATGATAAAAGTGAGTATTGGTAAGCGTTTATCTACAAATTAAAAAGATGCACATCCATATATATTTGTATACTCAACAAATAATCCGAAAAAACAAATAAGAGGAAAAACAGTATAAACGATAACTACAATGTCAAAAATACTACATTTTTGTCATCCTCCGATCGCTCATCTTCGCACGCTCGGTCTTCACTGCGTTCATCCGACGGGAGCCGAGTGAACGAAGATGCGATCCCCAGTCCATCAGTATTTCAACTACATATACTGATGAAGCAAAACATTACATAACATTATTTTCTGACTAATTTAGGATATCTTTATAATGCGCCAACCTTATCATATTTTTATTTAATTGATTGTAAATATCGAAAAAAAAGATTCTACAAATTGTAATGTATGGCATAATTCCACGTGTTACTACATATGTATTATATCAGTCTTTCCGCTTACCTCTGGTTATTGCCTGTTGTCCCTTAAATCCACGTTGTCAGTAAACTCAATAGCATTACAGTTCCTTTTATCATGTATCACACGAACGGACTATTTGCATCAGCGTTAACCGTTTCACTTCCTCTATCCGGTATTACGTCTAGTATACGCTGCAATCAGAGTAGTAATACAGAACTATTGCATATGTGATTAATGGTACACGTGATACACTTTTTTAGTTTAAAGATCATGATCAGAAAATTTTCAGAAAATAACATAAATGCATAGAGTAGCAAGACACGAGGCAGAAATCATTTAGGTTATAAATTTACTTTTTTAACATAAACATAAGTATAATGGTGTAATATGGTGATTTTCCATTGTTTAATGTGAAAATTATAAACAATAAATTCAATGAATGCGTATAAGTGCATCTAAGTTTCTTCAAACACGTCATGGTCCATGATTATGCAAGATTTATATACTAATTACATTGAACTAAATCAACAACCATTCAACGACAGATTTTAAGTGAGAAATGCAATCTGAAATTATAAACCATGAATACAAGGTGGAGACCAAAACGATGGCACATCCTCAGACTGCGACTCGCGTAATAGATCATGGTATGACTCGGGAATATGAAGAATCCGTAGCACACTATAGCGCAGCGACATTTGAACAAATATTTGAAGAGATGCATATGTCTTGATTTTTTTTAAATACTGTTTGCTGAAAAAACTTCCGGCTTTCGGGTCGAAATCTGCCTGTCATCACAAGGGGTCAAAAATCGTAAAAATGTTCATTTGAATTTTAATGCAGACTAAAAGACCCAAACCGTAAATGTAAGTATATATACTATGAAAAGGATTATCATTATATAATATTTAATAAACATCTTGATACAAATGGCGTTGTTTAATTAGTGTGTAACATCAATGTGGTTTTCTGCTTTTTATTTATTTTTTCTTATATTGATTGAACAAATATACGAAAACTAAGCGAACTATTTAGATAATTCATGACAACTAACATCTTAGTTTTGTACTACTAAAAACATTATATTTACTGAGTTTATTTATTTCATTGTCGAGGTAGAAACCACAAATAATTTCTGTTGATTATATACAAAATGATCAAATGACAAATGGTTTTGATATAAAACTAAAAGAATGAGCCATTAGTATTAAAATGTTTACACATTTTAAAATGAATGTGTCACATCGTTTAATAGGCATGCGCAATCAAATGCCTCGCATTTATCATAGTGTCAAAAATCAAAAAAGCTGTGTCCGCGTCAACAAACCAACATGCAAAATGCTATAAATAGAGAGTCAATAAAGCATATATTTTTAAGTTATCGATTATTTAATGAAGTAACAATGCTACTCTGTGTGATTGAGAAACAGGAACGAACTTGATGACTGGGGAATTGATGGATGCGATTTGATGATATCAGTTGGATATTGATGTGATTGAAAGGTACTCATTTAGTTTTACGAATAGCATAATCCTTTATCATTTCCATATATTTTTCCAAAGCTATTAGATGTTTAATAGCGTACATTTTAAATAGCAAACCTCAAGTTTGAACAAGGGTATTTATTGTGTTTTTCCGAACGGTTTAGTCATATGAACTCCGCTATCAACAAGTTCTGAAATCCTATTACTCCTCCTTTAAAAGGAGGTGTTGATGATTCTTGTGGTTTTTATTTTGCAGAGAATGACAAGGATATCTCACCTTAACGAGTAAACCAGAGAGGCTTTAACATGTGTATTTCTTTATCTCAGACATTATTCATGTGTGGGTGAGCTCAATTGCTAAAGAGGCTACATCAGATCTATCTTTTGTTATATATTGCTCAGTTGTGAGTGAACTATGTACCAGAGAGGCTTTACCATTTATTTCGTTATGTCAGACATTACTTATAACAGGATCTTAAGAGGTTCTGGACAAATCATTTGATTCTGGACTTGACATATTTTTTTTCCAACGAAATCACATCCAAGGGTTGAATTTTTATTGGATATTTAGAGAGCGAGTCCTGTATTGATTTCAATAAAAAGGTTAAAATAGAACGCTATTTGAGAGTTAATACTTTCATTACATTGATAAATTAAGGCAAATTCTGAAAAATTTTAAAGTGCATTTTTATGAAATATTATCCAAGTATTTAGATGAAACGGTCTTATTTAAATACAAATCATAACATGATGATATTTTTTCATAAAATATTTCTTCAAGAAATTCAATTGAAGGCTCAAGATAAAACGAGCTAATTTAGGTGAAAACCCTTACATGATGATGTGTTTTCATGAATTCTTTCATAAAATTCCATCAAGGGGTGAAAATAAAATGATCGAATTTAAGTGATTTAAGGATCACGAGGATAGGTTTTCTTGGATATTTTCTATGAAATCCCATCCAGTGGTCAAGGTAAAATTTTTATTTGGTATATTTGGTCACGTGTTCGAACCCATAGAACCATATAGGAACGTCATTTTGAATGTTACGTGATAAATCCATATAAGGCTTTTAGAACAATGTGGGGAAAGATGAGGGGAAACCCCTGACACCTGTTCACGATTTTATCCGAACGTTCATCGGATCATTTCGGTTTTTATGCACTTCATTATTCTACCGAAGTTTGCCGATTCGATTCGTCGTATTTCGGAATATTGGGGACAATTTTATACTCCATTGGGAGTATTTTAAATCTACTTCTTATTACGAAGATTCCCGAACCTTGTTCGGATTAATCCGGATTTTCTGACCTACTTCATCTACCGAGATTTAACGAGTTTACATTCGGCTCATTTCGGAATCCTGGTGACAATTTTATACTCCATTGGAGTATTTTTGATCTACTTCTTATGACGAAGATTTCCGAACCTTGTTCGGATTAATCCGGATTTTCTGACCTACTTCATCTACCGAGATTTAACGAGTTTACATTCGTCTCATTTCGGAATCCTGGTGACAATTTTATACTCCATTGGAGTATTTTTGATCTACTTTTTCTGGATTTTGCCCTACTTATTATATCTTTACAACAAGCAAATCAAAAAATTCGCCATGAACGGGTCTCGATCGACTAACCTAGAGCATGGAAGCTAGGCACGTTAGCCATGAGGCTAACGTGCAACCGATACGAAAGGATAAAAGTATTATATATTTATACCGAGCGTCAATTCAAAATGATCTTCACTTTTGACTGCACGTAAATACAACTCGTCAGTTGTATCCAGAATAGATGAACGCCTATGGTACTAGTGAATAACCAAGTCCCAGGCGAGTGGTTCGCACCCCACCGTGATATGTTATTTTTGCTTTTTTAATACGACAGAAAGGAGCAAGGTCACTGGCATGTAGCGGTCCTGATATCGATACATTCTACACGCAATAAAACCAGATACCTGCGTGTGATTAAAACTACATGTTAGAGCGTCGATAACCTACAAATCCTATTTTTTCATAAAAATATTTTTTCATGAAATCCAATCGAAGGGTGAAGATAAAACGATCTTTTAGGTAAAACAGCTTTACATTATCTGGTGATGTGTTTTCATAACTTTTTTCATAAAAGACCATTCTCGGTTTGGAGAACAAAGTTCGTCACTCTAATTGAGCGTTATCCCTGCTTCGGACAAATTTGATTTTTTTTACATAATATAGATTTGAATGTCTTCTTTTGAATAGTCATAGTTTAATTTGGGTAATATTTCTAGATTTTTCATATAAAAATTACTAGTGAAACACCCAACGTCTCTTTTATGATTCGTACCACTTTTTTAACTTGGTGTATTGCATATTTCCGTGGGTTGATTTGAAAAAAAGACAAACAACGTATACATGAATATGTCATAAGCATATAGTGAGATAATTGTTAGATTAGGTTTGCTATAAGTGACTTTAAAACAAAAAAATAAAAAACATTAAAAAGATTCTTACATACTAAAGTTACATTAAAATATCAATTGCAATAGCCACCTGTTTTTAACATCCCTTTGTCACTCATCCCTTAATTATCTCTGTGTATCTTAAACGTGTGTGTGTTCGATGTTGATAGCACCCGAGTGCAACCTAAGGAGCACATACAATACATTTTGTGTATGCCCAGTCTGGCCGCCTTATATCTGCCTGCACCGAGAAATGGGCGCAGCTTTGACAATTAACGAATGATATAACGATATCACGGATTTCACCGAATGTTATTCATCCCTAAATAGCTTTTTTATTTAGTCTTATGATCCGACTGATGTTTCAATTTTTTGCAGTGACTCTGAAATTGCTGCGCCAGATATGACATCACAGCGACTCATTTTCCTACATTTAAATCACTAAACTAAATCAATTGAAACATAATCATTAAAGAATGAGGACCTTGTATTTTACTTTGGACGAGGGTAGTGGCCATGTCTTGGCATGGCTAGTTGTGCATTAACGTTTGATACTGTTGTGCGGATATAAATAATGAATATATGTTAAAGTAGCACTAAACAGTAGGGTGGTCCAAAATATGGCGAAAAACCAACTTTGTTTCAGATCATCTTCCTCATTTCACTTACTGTTGTCCATGACCTAAAACACCTGCACACCAAATTTTAAGACCCAAATCACATGGGAAATTTACCCACGCTTCGACTGAAAATTCGGTTATTTCATGATTTTTTGCTATTTTCGATAAATTGTCATCTCCCTTTTCCTGGTATAATATGTTTCTATTTTTTCATAATAAACATTTTTGTAGGACTCTTTATTACTTCATAATACTAGGAACCCATACACCAAATGTTGAGACCCAAATCCCATGGGAAATTTACCCACGCTTCGACTGAAAAATTAGGTTATTTCATGATTTTTTGCTATTTTCGATAAATTGCCATCTCCATTTTCCTGGTATAAAATGGTAGATGTCTTTTCATAATAAATATTTTTGAATGACTCTTTATTACTTCATAAAACTTAGGAACCCATGCATCAAATTTTGAGACCCAAATCCCATGGGAAATTTACCCACGCTTCGACTGAAAAATTGGGTTATTTCATATACAATACAATACATCTCTATTTTCCTGGTATTATATGTTTCTATTTTTTATAATAAATATTTTGGGAGGACTCTTTATTACTTCATAATACGAGGAACCCATGCCCCAAATATGCACCAAATTTTGAGACCCTGGCCCCATGAGAAATTAATTCATGCTTCAACCAAAAATTTGTGATTTTCTGCGAATTTTCTCCTATTTTCAATAGGTCAACATTAATCTTATATTTAGTTTTTAAACATTTTAGGAGGACATTAATACATTCTTAATACTAGGAACCCTTACATTTAATATGTACCAAATGTTTAGACCTGAACCCCATGGAAAATTCACGTTTGCTTTGATCATATACTTTTGATTTTTGTCGTTTAGAGCACCATATCATTGTTGTGTGATGTGCAATTTGTAATAAATTGTATTACACGTTGTCTTAATTATCCTGTTTGGCCTTACATACGTTACATCGTGAAAGATGGTTATATAGTACTTTAAGGTAATTCCTTATTTTCAGTTTTAATGGCTTCCTAATTGGAGCCCCGTGTTTTTTCAGGAACACATAACTCATTCCATTCAGATGCACAAACAGTGTATAAACATAGCACATAGTACATTATAGAAAATTACTAACCATCAACTAATAATCTAAATACATATTTGAACTCAGTGTAAAATTGAAAGAGCTGACCAAGTATGGAATGAGTTCCAGAAATAACATTGGACTCCACTTAAAATTTCTGAACATACAGAATTACCTTAAGTGTTTCTCATTGCTCTTCCTATCTTCTACATTGTGTACTTTCAGGGCATGAACATTTTCAGAGAAATGACAAAGCTCAGTGGAAGCTCGAATCCCTTGAAGATTTGGTACAGGCTTACTGGTTACAACAGAGACCATGCCATTGATACATTGATCAATCAAAAAATCATTTCTCCAAAGAAAATCAGATTTGATATTTGACCTTACCCTGCAAAGATGTGAGAAAGAATATGACATCTCACACAAATCCAAACAAAGTCCTGTGATGTATCCCAACTGAAACCAACAAACCAAATCTTCAAGGCATTTGAGTTGCTGTCGAGTCATCACTTCTTAATATTAACCACAGTATATAAATGTACAAGTAAAAGATCCTAAATTTTCCCCAAACTACTGAATTTGTCGCCTTTCAATAAGACTTAAAGTCTTGATATTTAGGTGTTTCTTTGGATTAAGAAGGAATTACCATAATGTTTATAACATATTATGCCCCTAAAACAGACATCATAAGCTATCATAAGCACCAGTTTTCAGTCAAAGCATGGATAACGTTCTCATTGGATTTGGGTCTCAAAATTTGGTGGATATTTGGTGTATGGGTTTTTAGTATTATGAACGTAATAAGGAGTCCTCAAAAATGTTTATTATAAAAACATATCGTACCAGGAAAATGGAGACAGCAATTTATTGAAAATCGGAAAAAATGTGAAAATCACAATTTTTCAGTCAAACCATGGGTAAATTTCCCATGGGATTTGGGTCTCAAAATTTGGTGTATGGGTTCCTAGTATTATGAAGTAATAAAGAGTCATCCAAAAATATTTATTATGAAAAAATAGAAACATATTATACCAGGAAAATGGAGACAGTAATATATTGAAAATCGGACAAAACTGTGAAAATCACAATTTTTCAGTCAAAGCATGGGTAAATTTCACATGGGATTTGGGTCTCAAAATTTGGTGTTTGGGCTCCTAGTATTATTAAGTAATAAAGAGTTCTACAAAAATGTTTATTATGAAAAAATAAAAACATTTTATACCAGGAAAAAGGAGATGGCAATTTATCGAAAATAGCAAAAAATCATGAAATAACCGAATTTTTCAGTCGAAGCGTGGGTAAATTTCCCATGGGATTTGGGTCTCAAAATTTGGTGTGCAGGTGTTTTAGGTCATGGACAACAGTAAGTCAAATGAGGAAGATGATCCGAAAGAAAGTTGGTTTTTCGCCATATTTTGGACCACCCTACTAAACAGATACTTTTAAAGTTAAAAGAATATAGTTACATTTAAAGAATGGGCCCAACGAATAGATATTGAATATAGGACTCGTTTGATGAAACGTTCGTTCTTTTAATTCTAATAAACCTAGAAATCAATCAACGATTAAGTAAATTGACAAGACTTCATGTTCAAGTTGGCTGAATTTCGTGTAACTTAACTCTGTTATGTTTCTAGATTTTACATATGGAGAACAGAATTCGAAATCATAATCACAATCGTATTTTAAGGCAAATAGGCCATGAATATGCTTTTAGTTACACGGTGGATGATCAAATTAACACATTTTGGATGTTGAATTTCATTTCAAGTTCATTCGAATTTACGCATTATCGTGGGAAAGCCCATGGCATTATCCAATAAAATTGATATATATACTGTCTAGGCTGAGACTAACATATATAATGTTATTTAATGTATTTAATATACAGGATATATCTGAGAAAGTTATGCAATATATCTACACGAGAAATAGTAGGGACCGAGGGTTGATATATTACCTTTACCTGTCGAAAATCGAGTATAAACTATGAGGATTAGATACGCATTGAATGTAATGGAACCGTCATGTAATAATTAGAAATGATAATCACAATCAAATCATGGATATTTTATCTAGATTTAAAGTGCTTAAGATTTATTTTTAAAACTCAACCGAACTATTAACATTTAAAAGCACCGAACGAATTTTCTGGGGATTGCTGATGAGCGGGTGGGATGGGATGGGAGGGATAAAATGAAATACTAGATAAAATATTGATACCTTTACGCATGTCAATCTCAAATTATAATGCATATATCATTATCTCTTTTATTCTTCTGTATTGTAATACGATAGTCTGATAATTGTCAATATCCTATACATGAAATAATGTACAACGTGTATTCTACATTGAATAACAAACGAAATAAAACTCATCTCTGTACGAATTTATTTTTCATATGACACAAAGTAACATAACATTGTTATATGTTGCATTTGCGACTACTACAGCAAATCAGAAAATTCGTACAATATCAAACGTAAGAGTTGTTCACAAATACATTGGTATTTTGATATGAGTATCATGTAGTATTAACATATTAAAATCATATGATCAGCAAGTTTATAAGCTTAATATTGTATTGTTTTTTATTTAAGTGTCGCATGCTTAATTTCATACATATACATCTGTACAATCATCCAAAAAGCCTCGAGCCACCAATGGCTTATGAGACACTGCTAATCAAAATAAATCATATAATATTATATAATAAGATGCATAATATGAGTCAGTTGCAGAAATAGGATTATGAATAAAGCAAAGTTCATGACCTCTATTACGAACATTGTTTGATGAACTCGATCACTCAGTCAGTTGTTGAACATATGCAAATGTGGTCAGGTTATAAATATAAGTACAATTTAAGTCCATGATATTTTCACATATTGAACATAACACTCAGTTCACAAAGAGATGTATACAAATCTAATCCACAAGTAGAAATGATTGTTTCATGCTGTTTATGCATTGTGTATAAACTGTAATCCAAAACATGAATAAAGTGGGCAAGAGGTGGTTGTATGATGGCCCATAAAATCACATTATGTAACACCGGCACCCTGGTTCAATATAGTGCAGTGGCCCATGTTTGATATACGTACATCAAAACTCATGTTTTTTCAAGGAAAGAAGCTAGATTAGTGATATATTGAAAAATCAAACTACTATACCCCAATACTATAGCCCGTATTTCTTTAAAAGGAATACAGGCTACAGTGAAGTTGCAAATGGAGGACCTTTGTTTATTTCCATAGTTCTGGAGGAATACTAGATTTTACATTGTATAGATTCATCGAGCAGTTTGCAACGCACTATCACCAGAAAAGTCCTATGGAAAAGGACAAAGAATACCCGCTCTATTTGCAACTTAACTGTACACTGTATTCTTTTTAAATGTGTTCACGTGGTAGGGTAGTGTGATACTCCCTCTGCCTATGCCTACATCGTTCAATCTTTTTTTCATAGTATAACGCCTTATTAATACAACAGTTATTGAGCTGTTAAGAAAACATACTAACAAACAAACCACCGAGTTTAGAGTAAGACATATACATGTATTGTTCTATTATCAAATCATATATTGTGTCCCAATTCTAAAACGTTAACAGTTTATGGTGTACAATAAAACTATTACTATTAAGGTCTCATGGAAGTTAACAGGAAATGACAAAACAAAAAATGACAAAGCCATGCTGGATTTTGAAAATTTTTTGAACCAAGATAACAGAGTTCTGTTTGGACCTCCAGTCAGTTTAACTAGTTCCACATATCATTTACATGACCGGGAACACAATTGAAATGGTCAGAATGACCATAAACATGATAGAATAACCTTTGCAGCCCTCTGAAAATGTGACTAAAAAATAGCTAAGAGTCTGTGCTCAGGAAAGGTCACTGAACAGAATCTTTTGACTTTTTCAGAAAATGTGCCCAATATATTGCTCTAAATGATACAATTTAAACAAATTTGATATCATTCTTAGAAAAAGAAAAAATTTAAAAAAACTGAATTGAAAATCGATCTATTTTCCTTTTTACAACAGCCATTATTGTTTCAGACAATTTTTTTAAATTTCAAAGATTGTGTCATTTAGAGCAATATATTGGACACATTTTCTGAAAAAATCAAAAGATTCTGTTGATTGACCTTTCCTGAGCACCTAATTTTAGCTATTTTTCAGTCACATTTTCAGAGGGCTGAAAAGGTTATTTTATCATGTTTATGGTCATTCTGACCATTTCAATTGTGTTCCCAGTCATGTAAATGATATGTGGAACTAGTTAAACTGACTGGAGGTCCAAACAGAACTCTGTTATCTTGGTTCAAAAAATTTTCAAAATCCAGCATGGCTTTGTCATTTTTTGTTTTGTCATTTCCTGTTAACTTCCATGAGACCTTAACCACTTTAATATATTTAGACATAAAATATCAAGTTACTCATCAGCCAACAAATCTCAAAATATCGAAAAATGAAAAATACGAGGTACTTGTTCACTCAAATCTAGGAGTCAATTGGTAATGTGTACCTATAGATAGTTCTCAAAGTAAATGAGCAAAAGCGTAACATTTGTATGTAGCATGCTTCATAAAACACTAAACTACTTAGCCCAAAAAGTAAGCGTGCATTTTGTTCCTGGCACTGATTGGTTAATAAGTGAATACAATTCGTTGAATGCACGATGCACTCAAAAGATTAGCAGCTGGGAAAGGCTATTGAACAAAAAGTACGCTTTCGTACTCAAAAAAGGATTACCCTTTTACAACTTTGACAACTTTGAAGCATGAACTTCGGAAGATCTAACGAAATGTACTTACTGTTACCCTGTGGATCCCAGGGTTTTGATATGTTCTACAAAGTCATGCAAAGACAGACCATATATGCACTAAAAATATCTGTGACACTTGTATGATATGTATTCCACTTTGAACCACCATCTATTTCAATATTGTGAAAATATATATTTCCCAAATTATGAAATAAAGGAGCTTGTATTCGCGAATGCCGCTAACGCCTGTCGGCTACCGGATAAACCTACTTTACTATTTTATGGGCAATTCATTAAAATATTAATGGAATATTGTCAGGTTCTTTTCATATTTAAATGAGTCGCCCATAGAATGGTAGGTTAATCCGGAAGCTGAAATCTTCCATTCCCAAATCATAGTCTTAGCTTGTATTCGCAAATGCAACTAACGCCTGTCGGCTACCGGATTAACCTATTATTTTACTGGAAACTCATGTCAATACGAATAGTACCTGCCACTATTCCATTCATATTTAAATGACTTGGTCATATTATACTGGGTTAATCAGGTAGCCGGAAGGCGTTAGTTGCATTCGCGAATATAAGGTTAGCTTGAATTCAATAATGCAAGAAACGCCTGTCGGCTACCGGATTAAACTACCTCTGGAGACATCGGGATTTTAAAGCGGCGTGCAAAGCGTAATCGGGTACACCCCAGTTCTCCGAAACCCAGTTGTCCGAAACCCATTACTCCGAA